CCCTGGGTGTGGGAAGGGTGGAAACCCTCCATCTCCTCCGTGGATGGAAAAAGCCACTCAAAGCCTTAAGGTTGGTGCTCAGTGGTGGTGTCTGCTGCCCTCACCCTGACCCTGAATCCCCATCTGCCTGACCACTATATGGGGCCCTCTGCCTCCCAGCTTCTCAGCTCTGCCCAGCTCCTCTGCCTCAACCTTCTGCTCCATGGGGTCTCTGGGTGTCCACTTGAGTTGTTCTCTTGAGCCTCTGGAAGTCACATGCCCCACGCATTAATCTCTTGTCCTGTACCTTCTCCTGGGGCCTTGCAAGGTCCTGGTGCAGCCTCTCTCTTCCCTCCACCATTGGCCTCTACCATCGTCCATCCTGGGTATCCCTCTCCTGTTTCTAGGGGGCTTCCTGATGCCACCTTCTCTCTCCTGCTACCTCTCATTTGCTGTCTGCCTGTCTCTGTGTCTCTGTCTGGATCCGTGTCTGGGTCTCCCTGGCACTACCTCTGGGACTCTCTCCGTCTCCTCCCTGGCAGAGTGCGCCGCGGTCCGGTGGGCTCCTGAGGTTCCCGGCTAATGCCTCAACTCCCACTCCTACCCTCAGGGGAGGCCGGGCTCCTGTTGTCCCAGGTGCTAGGCCGCCAACCTTTCCTGGGCTACCGCGGAGCCCGGGAGCTGTCGGAAAGGAAGCTGGTGCGGAACGTGCGGCGCCCGAACGACGTTTATTACAACTCTGGAGACGTGCTCACCGTGGACCGGGAAGGCTTCCTCTACTTCCGCGACCGCCTCGGAGACACCTTCCGGTCCGGTGGGCTTCCACGGGGCGGGACCTCCGGATTGCGGAGGGGGCGGGGCCTTTCCTTCCAGGGGCGGGACTTACGGATTCCAGAGGGAGCAGAGCCTGGTGAGGACGAGGCGGGGCTTAGTGGACTAGAGGCGGGGCCTCCCCTTTCTAGGGGCGGGCCTGTGGGGTTCCGGTGGGCGTGACCTGATGGTCAGGAGGCGGGGCTCCCTCCCGGGGGCGTGGTCTCAGCACCCTCTCTGACCCCGCAGGTGGAAGGGGGAGAACGTGTCCACGCGAGAGGTGGAGGGCGTGCTGGCACAGGTGGACTTCCTGCAGGAAGTGAACGTCTACGGTGTGTCTGTGCCAGGTGCGGAGGGTTCACCTCATTCCAGGCCTCCCAACAGCTTTGTGGGAGGTGGGAGAGCTGCTGGGACCCAGGCGAGCGTCAGCCGCGGGCATCGTGAGGTGGGTCCGCGAGTGAAAGATGTGCCCCACAGGGTGTGAGGGCAAGGTGGGCATGGCTGCCGTGCAGCTGGCCCCCGGCCGGACCTTCGACGGACAGAAGATGTACCAGCACGTCCGCACTTGGCTCCCTGCCTACGCCGTCCCCCAATTCATTCGTATCCAGGTGAGCTCGGGGTGGCTGAAATAGATGGTTGGGAGGTGGGCGTGGGCAGTCACAGTCGAGGTCACAGTCTGCCCCTGCAGGACGCCTTGGAGATAACAGGCACGTTCAAACTGGTGAAGTCCCGGTTGGTACGAGAAGCCTTCAATGTGGGTGTCATTGCTGACCCGCTGTTCGTGCTGGACAACCAGGCCCGAGCCTTCCGGCCCTTGACGCCCGACATATACCGGGCAGTGTGTGAGGGAACCTGGAGACTCTGACCATCTGTTCAGCCCACAGACATTTGAAGGCCCCAGGCCCAATGCTGATCACCACCCGCACTTGTCCTGTCACCTCCACCCCAGACCTGATGGTGGGGGGTTCGTCATGAATCCCAGCCTGGCCTTATCCCCAGCTGCACAGTGTGGGGCAACCCTGGGCCCATGGCTGAGCAATAATAAACTCGAATGTATACACAGATGTCTGCCTGGCTGGGGAAACAAGAAGTCCAGGGCCCAGTGCCCCACGCTGGAGGAGTAGCCCTTCTGGGCAAGGCCAAGGGTGTGGGAGGAGCCAGCAGCCCACTGTGGAGAGATGACATTGCTCATTCTGTCTCTGGGTCACTGTGGCCTCTGATGGGGCTGGGGCCAGGTGGGGCCAGTGGATGTGTGGTCTGGAGGATATGGGGAGGAGGGCATTTGACTGACGCAGGAAGGGTGAGTGTGACTCGGAGAGGAGTGTGTCTGGCAGGGTGCATGGGCAAAGGCTCTGGGGCAAGTCCCTGTTGAGGGAACAGATGCAGAGGCTACTGGAGAATGGAGTCTAAAGTGTCTTAGAGGCCAGAAGTGCCCTTGGGGACACTGGGAGCAGCAGGCAGGGTGGTGTGAGCAGGAACAGTTCTGGCTGGGTGACGTCCCCGGGGCAATGTCAGGCCCCCAAGGGTCCCTGGGCATTTTAGTTTGGGACAGCCAGGCACTGTGGGCAGCCTGAGTACAGCAGATCAGGCACTTCAGGCCATGCCCATGGTTCTTTTCCAGGATGTGGCTGTTCCTGTTGTCACCGACTATTTCTCTGCCCTTCAGGGCCAAGGAATCCCAGTGTGTTCCCCTTCAAGGAACCACGTCCCCTTCCTGGCTCTGGTATGCACTGCTGGACTCGGATCCAGGCCCATGTGGTTCAGCCCACCTCCCTGCACATAGTAGGTCATCAGGTTCATTCACACGCCTCTTCCCTCCAGGAGAGGCTCTGGCTAGGAAAGGAGCTGGGCCGTGTGAACACAGCTGCAGAAGCCCAGGCTGGCCACCCTTGCTTTGGCCCAGGCCTACTTCCTCCAGATGCACACAGTAGGTCCAATATCATTTGACAGCGGGCACATAGCAGCAGAGGCTGGACTGGTCCCCCTGGAGCCCTTGTACCCTCTGGGAATAGAAACCAACCTGGAAGGGAGTTTGGAATAGATAGATCGAGCAGCAGAGGCTGGCACTGTCACCCCTACTGCCTGCCGGTCTTGTGACCATCCCTTAAGACCTGCTCTACACCGCTTTCCAGGCTTCCCTGGGTTCCTGCACCCAGCTGCCCATCACCTGGTGCCAGCCTAAGATGGTACAGCATCCACTTCTCTTGTGTGTACTATGCTGTGAGTGGGGGTTGCATTGTGGCCGTCCCCCTGATGAGGATCCTGCAGTCCTGTGCCCAGTTCAAGGGGTCCTGACTAGTGAGGCTCTGTCACTGCATTTCCTATTAATGGAAGAAGCTAACATCCAGGATGTGGCCAAAGAGATCCACTCAATCAACAGAGTACCATGTGCTGGGATGCATGGAGAGAGGGGTGCCAGGACATGTGCTGGACTCAGACCTGGGTCTGTAGACCCCAGAGCTTGTGGTATGGAATCAGAGCTGGCCACTTACAGGCTATGTGGCTGGGACCAATCTCCAGAACGACTTTCCTCCGGTGCACTGGTTTCCTTCCTTGTAAAAAGAGGTTGATCACCCTGCCCATCTCAGAAGAGGTTGCTGGCTATTACCAAAGATAAAGGTGCAGGGAAAGTTCCCCACAAGGGTTACCTGTTGTCCCTGATATTGGCATCTTGGCTCAGACGAGGGCCTGTTTCTCCATCAGCAGAGGGAGGGATCATTAACAATAGGAGTAAAACTGTACCTGAGAACCCTCAGGGCTCCCTCAGAGCCAGGCCGAAGCTGCTGCTTCTCACACGACTGCCTGTCCCATCCTTACCCCATCTACAGGGTGGGTTGTAGTGTTGTTCCCCCACTTTCTGGCCAAGGAAACCCTGGCTGAGAGGGGGGCTTTAGCCACAAGGCATTTCACCAACCCCATCAGTGCAGGTGTCAGGCCCATCCTTCACTGTATGGATGTTTCAAAAAGATCTCACTATAGATCTGAAGGTTTAAGGGTTCACCAGCACTTTATACGGACTCTTGCCCCTCCAAGCCCCAGCCAGCTTCAGGCATCCACACTTTTTGCTATTACATTTGCAAGAATTAAAACATAATTGTTTAAAGCATACAAATGACCAATAGGCACATGAAAAAAATGCTCAATATTGCTAATTATTAGAGAAATGCAAATCAAAACTACAATGAGGTATCACCTCACACTGGTCAAAATGGCCACTGTTAAAAAGTCCACAAACAATAAATGCTACAGAGGGTATGGAGAAAAGAGAACCCTCCTACACTGCTGGTGGGAATGTAATTTGGTGCAGCCATATGGAAAATAGTATGGAGATTCCTCAAAAGACTAAAAATAGACTTACCACATGATCCAGTAATCCTACTCCTGGACATCTATCTGGAGAAAACTCCAATTCAAAAAGACACCTGCACCCCAATGTTCATAGCGGCACTATTTACAGTAGCCAAGACATGGAAACAACCTAAATGTCCATTGACATGATTGGGTAAAGAAGTTGTGGTATATTTATACAACAGAATACTACTCAGCCATAAAAAATAATAAAATAAGGCCATCTGTGGCAACATGGATGGACCTGTAGATCATCATTCTAAGTGAAGTAAGCCAGAAAGAGAAAGAAAAATACTATATGATATCATTCATATGTGGAATTTACAAAAAAAGATGAACTTATTTACAAAACAGAAAGAGACTCACAGACATGGAAAACAAACTTATGGTTACCAGCAGGGAAAGGGGGTGGGAAGAGGTAAATTGAGAGTTTGAGATTTTCAGATACTAACTACTATATATAAAATAGATAAATGACAAGGTCCTACTGTATAGCACAAGGAACTATATTCAATATCTTGTAGTAACCTATAATAAAAAGAATATGAAAATGAATATATGTATATATATGTACGGCTGAAACATTATGCCACCCACCAGAAATTGACACAACGTTGTAAACTGACTACATTTCAATGAAAAAAAAACCTATTTACTTTTCTTATTTCCTCCCAGACCGGAAACTCGATGAATATTTATCCAATAGATCACGTACATATTTTACTCTTATTTCATTCAGCTGATCTTTTTGTGTTTTCCTGTCCTACGCTGCTCTAATTAGCATGGCTTTGTAACAAGTTTTAATGTCTGATAAAGAATTCCTTCTCCTTACTCACATTTCAAAACATTCTTATCTAGTTGTCTAAGTCGTTTGGGCTACTATAACAGAATACCATCAACTTAGTGGCCTATGAACAGCAGAAATCTATTTCTCACAGTTCTGAAGTCTGGCAAGTCCACGATCAAGGTTCAGGCAGATTGGATGCCTGGTGAGAGCCTGCTTCCCGGTTTATAGATGCCATTTTCTCAATGGGTCCTTTTGTGGTGGAAAAGACAACGGAACTTTCTGGGGTCTCTCTTACAAGAGCACCACTAGTCCCATTCAGGATGGCTCTGCCCTCCTGCCTGAATAACCTCCCAAAGGCCCAGCTCCACATGCCGCCATGCTGGGGACTAGGTTTCAATATCTGCATTTTGGGGGACACATACACTTAGACCAGAGCACTAGCTGTGTGTCAGGACTTCTCCCCAGCTCTGCCTTCCCTCCCCTCAAAACCCCCCTGGCAGAGGAAGAGGAGTGAGAGGTGGGGTCTCTGGAGGGGGCTGCTGGTGCAGGGGTCCCAGCAGGGTGTGGTGAGTGCCCCTGCGGGGGACCAGCGGGTCCCACGAACAGCAGCCCTTATTGGCCTAGGGGATAAATCATGCCTGGCGCAGAGTGAGTTTTCCACATGCAACAGGTTATACCTAGAAGGAGATTTACTATGAGGGATGGGCTCATGAGACTATGGAGGCCAAGTGGTCTCTGGTCTACCCTCGCAAGCTGGAGGCCCAGGAAAGCCGGTGGTGCGATTCCAATCGCATCCAAAGGCCTGAGAACCAGGGTGGCCCCTCATGTAAACCCACCCTGGGGGCAGGAGATGAGACATTCCAGCTCAAGTGGTGAGACAGGGAAAAAAGGGGGAAATTCTTCCTTCCAAGGACTGTTGTTCTATTAAGGCCCTCAGTGGACTGAGGGATGCCCACTTGCATCTTCCAAGTTACCAGGAAGAAAACCCAAACACAGGATAGGAAGCACAGAACAAAAGGCGGGCCACAAAGTGGAACCTGGCGGCAGCTGCCTGACGACTGGAGAGCAAGCTCGCTCGTGGTGACTCTCAGGTCGGGGGTCTGGCGCTCAGGCATTTCCAGGAGGCCAAGCACCACCACAGACTAGGACACATGTTCAGTCCTCAGGCACATCCGAGTCCAGAGGTGTTAAAACGTGGCACAGCGTGCATCAGAACTGATGAAGTGCGTGGAACAAGATGACCAAACTGAGACCAGGTAACTCTGGTGGAATTTATCAGAAATAAATGTAGAAAGGGCAGGCTCGCCGGACAAGAGCAAACGCTCTTAAACAGACACAGCAAAGCCCAGCTCTGTTGAGCACAAGGAATACATAGAAACAAAGAGACAAAGCCCTTTCGGCTGACAGGGCGTCTCCCACCTCAGCTGTGCAGATTCCTGGGGCCTCTTGCCCACTGGCAGCCCCACATCATCACCTCTGTCCTTTGTCCAACCCCAGAAGAGTCTCCCAACCTCCAGAAAAAGACACAGCCCCCTTGCCCACTTCCAGACTCAGCAGGGCTTTCCCAGGTAGCACGCCCTGAGGGTAAACACAACCGTAACCACACATTAGCTCTGCTTGTTTTTGAACTTCATGTAAACACACAGTGTGGACTCTGAGTCTGAGATTCCACAGTGTGTTTGCCCGTGGCAACCCCTTACTCCTGGTCGTCGCTGTGTACTTAGTATTTCACTGCATGAAAGTCCATGGTTGTTTGTCCCGGCTGCGGGTAGTGGGTGGACCTGCCAGTGTCCAATCAGGAGGCAGAAGGCACGTGGTAGTTTGCATGGGGTACACGTGATGTAAACAGTCATTAACTATAAGAGAGAGTAACTCTTACAAATGCCCTGGGCTGAGAGAGAGTGGCCAAAGTAGGCATGAACTTTAAGGTGGGATTTAGGGAGAGGGTATAACTCAGTGCTAGAGCCCATGCTCAGCATGCACTAACTCCTGGCTTCAACCCCAGTACCTCTGTTTAAAATATAAAAAGACTCTTTCCTTGTTTGATATCAGGAACACAGAAACGAGCAAATAGATTGTACAGCCAGACAGTCTGATTTGGGGTTTCATTCTTGATCTGGCAATTTCAGCCGGCAACAGTCATTAGCAGGGAAATACTCATTCCTTCTTCGACCCAGAGATCTTTTCAGGAGACTATCTTAATTGTCAATAGTTTATTTTTTGATACTTTATTGAATACTCATAGTTTATGCATGATGAGAAATTTAAAAAGATATTTTTGATAGTTCATTGGGACATTATGAGAAATTTTTTAATGTCACAAAAAAATGGGGGGGGTAATTAGGTTTGTTTATTTAACGGAGGTACTGGGGATTGAACCCAGGACCTTGTGTATGCTAAGCATGCACTCTACCACTGAGTATACCCTCCCTCCTCAATAGTTTTTGTCATTTTATTTCTAAATTTATTTATGATTAGACAGGTGGATTCTATAAAACCTCTTTATCAGACTTCATACCCTTTGAAACCGAGCAGGACTCTGTGGGGCCCCCCCAACCCTGTTCTTGTTTATAGAAAAGGTGGCCTCCAAAGCTCCCTGAGTCACAAAAGGGCAAGAGTCACAGACTGTCTGGTGCACATTTCTGAGTCGTTATACAGATACTGTTAACAGCCACCAGATAAGCAGCTCTTTGCAGGAAAACCACCCCAGTGAGAAGGCCCTCTTCTGGTCACTGTAGCAGAACTATACTGCCACTGACCTTAAACCTGGCACCTCACACCCCGCCCATCTCTGGCCCAAGCACACCTTGCACGTCTTCTGACCACACAATCCCTTGCCTACCTTTTGGTCTTTTCCCGCAGATCAAAGAAGTAGAAATGGAGAGTAAGTAATTAACAGATGACCAGATCTCGTCCCTAAGTCCCCCTTCAGTCATCTTGGGAACACACTGTGAACAAGATTGCACCTATGGAAATTCACAAGGAACTGAAAAGCCTGCACGTGGCAGGGGGAGGTGGTGAGGACTCTGACCCTCATCTCAATAAGCAACTGAGATCACTTCCCTATTTTTTCTTTGAAAACTTCCATTGCTGAGCAGAATCCTCGGGGATGGTATTTTGGGGACCCTAACCCCAGACTGCCAGCATTCTGATTAAAAGTTACTTTCCTTTCCATCCACATTGCCTCTCCTATTGATTTTTGAGCCAGACAACATTGAGTAACACCTTTAGCATGGTTATAATAAAAAAGACAGTAACAAGTATTGGGGAGGCTGTGGAAAAACTGGAATCTTGTACATTGCTAGTGCGAATGTAAAATGGTGCAAATCCTTTGGAAAACAGTCATCACAAGGCCAAATGTAGAGTTACTATACGACCAGTAATTCCACTTCTAATAAAATTTTATGCCCAAGAGAGATAAAAACAGATGTCCACACAAACACCTGTACATGAATTCATGTTCATAGTGGCACTATTCACAGTTTCAAAGAGTGCAAACAATGCAAGCTGCCCAAACACCTTAGGAATGGATAAACAAAATGTGGTAAATGCACAAGTGGAATATTACTTGGTGGCAAAAAAGGAGTGAAGCTCTGATAGATCCAAAGGGACAGAAAGGAGATTGGTGACTGAGGAGCTGGGCGAGGACTGCTGACACGAATGTGCTTTTTGGGAATCGTGTGAAATCATTCTAAATTTGTGGTGATAGAGACGTAGCTCTGGGAACAGACTAAAAACCACTGGATCGTACTTTCAATGGGTGAATAGCATGGTACATGACTATCTCCATAAAGCTGTTAAAAGTCTCTATACTAAAATTTAACATTTTACGACATGTTTGCATTCATTTTTGTGTTTTAGAGTATTAAGTCTGATCTATCTTGACAGCTGAGTTTTTGGCCTCCCTTCAAAGTCGCACCTCAGGCCAGTACCCTGCTTAGAGACTTTGGAGCATGGTCCCTTCCTCCAGAGTGTCTTCACCTCGGACCACAGCTGCCAATGTGGGCAGTGTGCACCCAAGAACCCACCTTCCAACCATCTTCTGTTTGACCAGCCCTGGGGTTATGGGGGAAGCTGAATACACAACACGGACACTGGACACATGAAATCACGGCCCAGGAGGAGACCTTGTGCCATGCAGGGTCATGTGCACTTGGAGACAGAGTGGGAGGCAGGCTTTGATGAATGAGAGGCTGGGTGGCCCCCGGCTCCTACAGCAGAATGTGACTGGCTTGGCGGGATAAACCCTTTGGTAAGGAGGACGGTTGGACTTGGGGCTCTGACCCCCCAGAGTAGTGCAGGGAGAAGGATTTGCCATCCGAGGCTCTCCTGGTTCCAGTATCAAGGCCACAACCGGTGTTGGGCCTTACCTTCTGCCTTTACACCACAGCCACAGGTGCTACCAGAGTCAGACCCACCCAGGTCAGATTTTCACTCTTCAATCACTGGGTCACTTTAAGTTGGCTTAACTCAGCAGCAGTGGCTGAGAAGGAAGAAGGGGCCTGGAGGGAGGCCCAGGTAAGGAGAAGGAAAGGCTCTTGAGGTGGTTGTGAGGATCAGATGAGCCTGGGGTGGGGGGCAAGCAGCTGGAATCAGGCAGGAAGATGCCTCCCCAGCCTCAGCCCAGTGGACGGAGGGGCTGAGTGGGTGCCACGAGATGGGTGGCTTGGCCCAGCTTCTAATGCCAAGAGGTAGATTCTGGAAGCCGCCTTGCAGGCGGACCGTGCTGAGCTGGCTGGGGTTAGTGCCACGGGTGGGCTGTCTAAGAAAAGCCACATTAGACAGGGATGGATCTGAGTACAGGAAGATCCAAACCATGATGACCAGATGCTTGAGGAAGTGACAAGCAGAGATGCACACAACCGGTGTTCGCGGGAGAGGAGACAGTGCACACAGCCTGCCTGGCATCCACGGCAACAAGAGCATAGCTGTGTTCTGCCTACACCACGGAAAAGGACAGGAGAAAATGGGAGTCCAGGAGGTTTCAGCTGCTGGGGACCCTTCTGGAGGGAAGGCAGACGGGCCCCGTGTTGCTGGGAGATGCTGGCGCTTCGAGAATTAAAACCCCTGTGCCCTGTCAGATGACCTTGAGATGGGGAGGTTATTCTCAATGGTCCCAGTGGGCCCAGTGTCCTTGGGTGTGGAAGAGGAGGGAGGCAGGAGAGAGTCAGGGTGATGCACTCTGAGAGGGAGGGGACCGTCTCCACAGCTGGCGAAGCTGAGCCATGGATGCTAACGGAGTTGACAAAAGGAATGCAGCTCAGCCGCTCCTAGACTTTAGTGCAACTGTTCTGACTTCTGACTTACAGAACTATGATTTGTGTTGTTTTAAGACAACAAAGAAAATTTAAAAACAAGAACAAAACTCCCATGCTCCTGCTCTGGAAATGGCCAGAGTCCATCTAAAGCACACACTCAAGTGCGGTCAGCACAGCACTGGGGTGGCAGGAGGACGAGGGACTATCTGGGTTTGGTGAAATGACAGGACGGCCAGAGACAGCATCCTCACCCAGGCCTTAGGAAATGCTGCAGATTTAATATCACTGGGAGACGAGGGGGTGAGACGAGCAGGACTCCAAACCACCTACAATAGCCTCACAAGCTGCAAGAGACAGATCCTGTGTGCAACCCTTGGGGGCCCACCACCCTGACTGTGGGGCTACAGACTCTGTTCATGATCTTCTCTGCTCTCTTGTCTATTTCAGACTTTCTAGCAAACATAAACTTTCAATCTAGGAAACTGCCGGCCCACCCTCCCTCAGCACCTCATGTCCCTCTGTGGTTGGGCCCTCAGTGGCTTCCACCCTCCTCCCCAGCTCCCTGGGACCTGGCCTAGCTTGAGCACTCGCCCCCTGCTCGCCCACCAGGTGACCCCTTCCCAGTTCCACCTCCAGCCCAGCTGTGCGTCCCCCAGGCCCAAGTGTGGGAGCAGTGGGTCATAGGTCCTGAGAAGACTGGGGATGGAGGCGATGGGCCCTTCTAGATGGAGGCTTCCCCCTGCCAGCTTCAAGTGGCAGCAAGGTCCCCACCCCCAGCCCAGGTGTCCCCCAGCCCTGCCCAGTACCATGGTCACACACAACCCCCACCTGCCACCCCTGCATGTGCCTGAGGCTACAGAGGCTCCTTTCTCAGGTGCACCTGTTTCCCTGAAACCCCTCCCCCCAGGGAAGCGCTCTTTGTTCTCAGAGTGGAAAAGACACAGAGAGTGCAGAATAACAGCCCCCAAAGACATCCACGGCCTGTCCCTGCATCCTGTGAATATATCACCTCACACGCAGATGTCAGGTGTGCAGGTGGAGAGCGGACAAGCTGTGACTCTGAGACAGGGAGATCATCTCGGGTTACTAGGTGAGTTCCGAGGCTCATTACACAGAGGAGACAGTACAAGACTTAAACACCCACTGCCGGCTCTGCAGATGGAGAAGGGGCCACAAACCCAGGAATGAGGTGGCCCCTACAGTGAGAAGAGGCCATAAAGTGGATTCCCACTGAGAGCCTTTGGGAGGAACCAGCCCTGCTGACACCTTGATTCCAGCCTCGTGAGACCCAGTTCAGTGTCCTCAGAGAATACACCTGGGTTGTTTCAAGCCACCACGTTCGTTAGAGCAACCATAGCAAAGGGACACAGTACACTGACCAAAGTCCTGAATGACTGCCCAGGAGCCCAGACTGACTGCCACAGGCAGCAGGCAAGTGACCCTCTGCCCTCGAGCTTTGTGACTGACTGACCAACCATGTGGGCTGTGGGGACGCCCCTTTACTCGAGGGCCATGCTTGTCCATCCCAACTTGGAAAGAAGTTCCCTGAGCATCCATTCAGACTGGGACTTGGGAACGTGAAGGGCAAGGCCAGGGAATGAGGAGTGTGGCCAAGGGCAGGTAGGAGGGGCCTGGCCCTTCTCAGGGGCACACCTGATCTGACCAGCAGAGCCCAGAGGTCAGGCTTCTTATGCAGAAACTTCCCCAGCATAAAAGCGGAACGTGTTAAAAACCTCAAACGCAGAGTGGACAGACTTTAGCCTCCCACCCACTTACAAACAAAAGCAAGCCATGCTCTCCTGGGCTTTCTGCATTGTCCACTTTCAGACCTCAGGCCCAGCTGCCACAGGAGGGCAGGAAGGGGCCTCCTCACCAGAGCCAACTGGTCCCAGGGCTGGGGAGAGTGGTCACCTGCCTCAGGTCACAGGTGGGGAGCCACCACTCGGAAAGGTGGGGGGGGGAGGCGAGGAGGGAGCAGGGGACCCTCCTGGGGCTCTGACTCACTCCAGGGTCCTCTGTGGGTCCAAGTCTCCCGGACCGATGCGGAGTCACCGAGCACTAGAACCGGGGCCCCAGGCGTGGGCAGCCTCTCCAGAGCTCACAGGGCCTCGGGCCGGTGGCCCTTGCGGTGGATGACCAGTTGGGACTTCCAATCGAAGCTGCGGCCGCAGTCGCCGCAGCAGTGGCGCCGCTGGCCGGCGTGGCCCTTGCGGTGGATGACCAGC